TCCTTATTTAAATCGGATTTATTATTCATTTTTTTCATAGGTAAAATACTTATTTATTATTTAAGTAAACATTTTACCAGAGGATTATTCATTTTATATGATGATCTCAGCATGAGCATCATCAACTGGTAACAGTTTGTGGGTGCGTTCGTTAATAATAGTTACTCTGCAATGGGAGTGAGCTGCTGTTTGTAGGCATTTAGGAACGACGGTGAAAGATGGTGGTGCCTGCACTATCGATAGTATCATGTGGAGGAATCTATAATTCTAAAATGAGCTTTTAGAGGCAAAAGAAGGGTCCCAACTGTATAATTTAACCATTAAATGGATTATTTGTTGAAAGAGGATTCAAAGTAGCCACGAAAACAATAAGAATGCTCGTGCAGAGTTACGCGGAGGTATAAGAGAAACGCACCCTTTATTAAATTTTATGTTGTACAAGGGTTTTACCCAATTCCCGAACTGTGTTAGAGTGAACCTGTGCTATAAAAGCACCGTCTTATAAGGGGGATGTTCCCAATTCTCAAACCGTGATAGAGTGAATCCGTACTATAGAAGTGCTGTGTTATACAAGGGTTACCTGTATTAATATATTTTTACTAAATATTAATATATATAATTTATAAAGTTTCTTTATATATATTAATGACTTTTTATAAATTATTGCAACAAGTTTGCATTGTAATAAAATACTAACCTATACCAAGGACACAAGGCACAAAGTAGACCATCTTTTTGAACTGCTTTCAAAGTGAAAGGATATTCATAACCCAGACTGTCATCACTACAAAAAAATTTAAAATAATGTATTAAATATAATGTAATATCCATTATGAATGAGCTATGAAGTATAATTATTCAGTAATGTTAATAATGTATAAATAAATTAAGCATTTATATTAAAATTCTTCTTTTGATAAGAATTACAAATACTCAGTTATTATACTAAATAATAAAAACTTGAGCACAAGAAATTATATTTTGAAATGTCAGTAAAAAAGCAACTGATCATGATTTCATGAATTTTTAAATACTAATATAAATTTTACTAAGTGATCATCTAGATGCAGTAAATACTGAATCTAGATTATCACTTAAAATATTGTACTGACTTCTGTATTGACTTAGTTCATTTAAATTTCATTTAAATCTAAATAAAAATACACAAATATTTTGTTTATGAGGTAACATTTCAGTTTTAGATTTTCATATAATATAAATCATCTGTATGCATAATTATTATTACTATTGCAAATTACCTAAAATAAACATGATGATCAGTTATAAAATCTTTAATAACATACATTGCTTATTTTCTTATCATTATCAACATGTAGATGGACTACATTAAAGCATTTAAAATATTGAATTATCAAATAATATTTTGTTGAAGTTTAATGGTATTCGACAACTTTCTGTGGTGTAACTCTACTAAAGAGGCTTTGGCAAAGTTGCCAAAGTGAAATGCTTTTGAAGGTAACACCCATGTGTATTTTTTTATTGATGTTCAAATAAGATGTTTAAATATTTAGTAGTGATGCAACGAATATTTGGTTACTATTCGGTATTCGGCCTATTTTTCGCTATTCGGCTGAATACCAAATATTTAATCACTATTCGGCCGAATACCGAATACCTAAAAACAGGAGTAAGAAATAACAAAAACACAGTAAATTATTTAATCATTTTGGTACTGTATTTAGATTTAATGTTGTCGGGTTAGTACTGTTTGTTTATATTTATTTATAACTTATAACATGCACAAAATAAAAAAAAATAATATTAATCACATGTATTTACAATTTATAATTACAAAAATCAGCACATGTACACATATTCATTCGAGAATCGTCGCACACATTTGAGGATCTGACCCTGCCTATCCTTTTTAAGTGCTCGTCTTTGCTCTTTTCTTTCTCTTTCCTCTATCTCTCTAGTCCACGTATGCCTATGCATACATCATAATACGCGCTCACGATACTTTCAATTCGTCACTTTTCCGTCGTAGTTTTTTTATTTTATAATTACGTGACTCATAGCCTGGTGATAACGGAAAAAAGAGACAGATAGGACGTTGGTATATGTCACAGTTATGATTTCACAGATTCGAGATAGCTTGGTAGCCCAAACGGTCCCAGGATTTCGCCCGTGCACGCTAAGTGACTTTTATTACAAGCATTTAGCTTTCCGAAGTCTATGACAACAATTGTTTGGCATTGACGGCCGCAAATTTCTAGCCAATAAGCTGCTTCAACTTGTTCAATTATGTTATCAACTCAATTTCATATTTATTTTCACAGTTCCACTTCGCGGTCTTTCTCTGTTCTTTTTCTGTTATTTACACGTGTGGGTCATTTCATTGTTATTCATATTTGATATCATAATTTATCACATACTGTCATGACGCTCTTGTCTGTCTGCTACAACTGTCAAGAAATAACGCAATTGGCGAAGCGTAGTGGCAGTGGGCCAATGGAGAGCAGGGTCCTTGCTATAATACTGTTTGCGCGCCAATTTTCGTTAATCAAGTCGAATAGTTTGGCCGAATATTCGGCTATTCGGCCATGCTCCTGCCAAATATTCGGTATTCAGCCTCAGGCCGAATATATTTATTCATTGCAACACTAATATTTAGTGTTGTGTATACCATACCTCTATAAAACAGTTTTGATTGAGGATTTGCTCAACTTTTTAAAAGTAATCTGATGTTTGTTTTCATTATGAAATAAAAAAAATGTGTTTGATCCAATACCAAATTCAACTAAAAATTAAAACAAGTAAAATGGCAAGGCCGTATCTGAGAAAAGACTATGTCTCTGAGACTCACTATTAAGCGGGATCACTTTGATGTTCACAGTGAGTCTCCTTCTCATTCTCCAATCTTTTTTGGTATTGCTGGTTTTGAGCGCAATCATTCAAACTTTGCTGGCCATAGCCACAAGGTCATTCATGATGCATTTTTAGTGAAATCAACCTATCCAATGTTGAAATTTCTCTCCATTGCATGTCACCCCAGGTTAATTTTTGTCAATACCTAACAAAAATTTTTTGTTTTTCAAAAAAATAATCATTGCTATTGTATCGTCTGAAATTATTTTTTTATTTTGCACAAACAAAATATATATATTAATAAATTTAAAAAGGAAAAAAATTATATTTCAGAAGTTAAGTTTTAATATAAAATTATAAAGACTAGCGCCATCTAGTTTCAAAAAACATTCTGATGCTGAAACAAGATATCTCAGGTCAACCAGTCAAGGTCAGCATGTGGCAACCAGAGATATGTGGGGAATAACACAGGACAGGTAAATGGGTTTTTTCAAAGATTTGTTTGTCAGAATTCGATTTCACAATGTTTCCATTTCCAACTTCCCAATGAGTAACACATGCACCAATCTTGCACTAGTGCCTGTTTGTAGAAAAAGTGTCACCATTTTGTATTTTATTTTGACTTGGTTTTGGTCCTGAGTATCTACAAGTCTGGTTTTTTTATGCACACATGATTTGGGCACCTAATAGTCTGTGCCAAATTGCAACTCCTGACATGCACTCCTTCATACCTCTAAGTTGGTAAGCCAGGACAGCACTGCAATTTTATAAACAAGACATAGTCTTATCAATAATGAAATATTACAAAGAATTTTAAATTGCAGTCTTTAGCTTAAAAATTCAGTAGTATTGATTAAATTTTTTCCTAAGTTAAATAATGATCACAACAAAAAATATTTCTCTTGAAAAACTCATAAGGTTAATTTATAATATTTTTGGATGTTTCATAAAGAAATTAATACAGTAGACCTGCCTATAACATGGGTTCATATAACACAGGAAAAGAATTGTGAACGTGTTCATATAACACACTAAAAGAGACTCATATAACATGGTAAAAGAATGAGACAGACTGTCATGTTGCGACAGGATTGATCGAATCTGGACCAATAGTGGACGAGCAGCCGAACTACTTGCCACCATCCAGTGCCCCACATGTATACAGTCGACCCCCCTATAAGATATAGATACGTTCCAATTTATTAGGAATCCGATTTCTTACAAGTCATTCCAATCACAGCCCGACACATGTCAAGTTTACGGACTACGGCTGATTGAAAGGTTTTCTTCCATAAAATTAATCGATTCTACACTAATCCGACTCAACATTTCCAAAATACGTATATTTTTTCGTAGTTTTATAGGAATCGTAATTATAGGGACCATAATTACAGGGGGGTCGACTGTATATAGAGAGTTTAGGTGGGAAAGTTGAGTTTACTATCGTCTGTACAGTATATAAATTAGGTACTGTAAGTCTAATACTGTAATTTTATAATTTTTATGTTATCTAAAATTTTGTCTTTAGTCATCAGAATAACTTATCAGGAAACGTGTCTGCCATTCGATGAGCCACTCCATGACGAAAACAAGCTTAAGCAATGGCGAACAGTGCACACTTGGTAAGTATTCCTACAATTTTTTGTTTATAGCATAGTTTATATGGATTATTCCCAAAAAATTATACTTGATTTGGAAATGTTCGAGTCAAATTAGCCTAGAATCGATTAATTTTATGGAAGAAAACCTTTCAAACAGCCGTAGCCCCTAAACTGCACAAGTGCCAGGCTGTGATTGGCTCATGTATTTAAGTGACTCGTACAACACGGAATTCATATAACACAGAACTTATCTACCATGTTATATAGGAGTCTACTGTATTTAGTACACAACTTTTATTTAAGCAAGAAATTTGTGGATGATTTTATTTCAGAACAATTACTAGATTAATGCTTCCTATAATCTTTATTTTCTTTTATGGCAAGTAAATTCTAAAATTGGCTAGTTAAATCATTTGAAATAACAAACTACCTATTAGTTTAAAACAGTGATTCTCAACCACTGTGTCGCAGCTCTTTAGTGTGACGCGAGATTTTTTAGGTATGCTGCCACTGCAAATATCTATATATAAAGCAATGTCAGACAAGTAGTTTAATCAACTCTAACTTCCTAGAGCATGTTTGGAAATTGTAACCAGTGTTACTGGTAACTGCCAGTAGTTACCAAGGTGTTTAGAAAATGTGACCTAAACAACCAACTGCGTTTAAAAATCACTGTTATGACATCGCTGGTTGTCCTGTGGTACTTACCAAAGTAACTGTGTGTGCTGCCAAAGTTTTAAATTATTAAAAGTGTACCATGACGAAAAAGGTTGAGAATCACTAGTTTAAAATAAGTATGGAAAAACTGAGAAATTATCTATATTCATACTGAATAAATCATTTTATACTCTATTTAAGTAAACTTCTGGACTTTATTTTAAATGTATCTAGATTCATTTTAAATAGATATTTTTGCTTATTACAAAAGCAACTTGAACTATTAAATTCAATAAAGATAGTAGAGGCAGTATCCCTAATGTATTATATAATGATTGATATATATTAAATATATTATTATATATTAAGGTAAATATTACATTTTACTGATATAACAGTTTTGTTTTTATAAAATTGAATAAACTTTTTTATACTTTTGACAGTTTGAATTTTAAATCAACTATTACAATTAACTCAAGGAGAAAATAATTTATTTTTAATTTAACTATTAAAAATAAATTACTCTCTGTTATCTGCCAATTTAACAAATTTTATTCATTCAGTTATTTTGTTTCATATAACATTACTGTTTTTTTGACAAGTGTTTTAGTATTAGATCCATTCAAGATCATCTTTATATTCCTGACATTTCATGATAACTGTGCATTCTATTTTATTTTATAACAATTCTTTGTAACCAATATTAGCTTTAAAAACATTTTTAATTATTTAATATATACATGAAAATTTTTTAAAAAATAGTTGATAGTAAGAAAAAATAAACATTTAAAATAATTCAAAACAAATTAGTTATAATGAACTATTTTCAAACCATTTTATTCTAAGGGCATCAAGAATGAAATGTTAATGTCTAGTGGTATATAAAAGACTTTGAAAACCAAAATTTAAAGAAAAACAAAATAAAAGAAAAACCAAAATTTCTAGGACATTAAACAGATTTCTTCTCCCAAATGCCAAGGCCAAAATCTATTGTTCATTTTTGTGTGCTTGTGTTCCCATGACCATCTCTGTCTCCAATCTGCTGTTTGATCTCTGCCAGTTCCATCTCCAGAATCACCGATGACACTGCCTTGGGGCTGACTTGTTGAGGGAACATCATTGACAATGTAGTACCTCACCTCAACTCTGGAGTTTTAACAAACATCATCCAAGAAGAAGAACTTTGAAAGTAATTTTTTCATAAAGTATAAAGAGGAAATTTTTTGACTTCTTTCTAAATAAACAGGTTCAATTGTAAAGATGCTTTGCCTCAGTGCCATCCACACATCTCCCCTCATCCCTCTTTCTATTTTCAATTTGAGTTTACACCATATCACTGACCTCACAATTAACAAACCAATCATCAAGAAAATCACCAGTCACTCAATCCTCTTATTACTGTTGAGAAGTTACTTTTACTTGGTTAGTAATAAACATAATTAGTGTTAAACTGAATATTCAGCATTATTTGGTATTTGGATATATTCAGCCACAGAGTAAATACTCAATATTTGAACCAAATACATACTCAAGGCCAAACTATTCAACCAAATAATAATATTTCATTTGGAGAGAAAAAGAGAAAAAGGAAGGAAAAAATAAAACACAAAATAGAATAAAAATGACATTTAAAATCTCATATATTTAAAAATATTGTTATTTAATGCTTTCTAAAACAAAATATACAGTAGACCCCCCTATAACGCTTAGATACGTTCCACGCTAACTGAAAATTACGTTGTAGGAACGATTAAATACATGAGCCAATCACAGCCCGATAGGTGGGAACTTTACGGACTAAGGCTGTTTGAAAGGTTTTCTCCTATAAAATTAACCGATTCTACACTAATTCCACTCAACATTTCCAAAATACGTATAATTTTTTGGGAATAATCTGTATAAACTATGCTATAAACAAAAAATTATAGGATTACTTACCGAGTGTGTACCGTTCAACTACGTCGTTGCTTAAAGCTGGTTTTCATCGCGGAACAGCACGCGAAACGACGGCCGCAATTTCTGATAACGAATTTTTGGCAGAAAAATAACTTGACCTTTGGAGACATCATTAATATAAATAATTTTTATGGCCGTTGAATAAGAAGTGTTTCTTTCACAAGAAATGTATAAAATTAGTGCTGTATTAGACTTACGGTACCTAATTTACATACTGTACAGACGATAATAAACTCAACTTACTAGCCTAAAATCTCCGTAGCGTGTTGCCAGGCGGCAGAAAGCATATATATAATTATAATAAAGTTACAATAAATTAAGTTAATATATAATTATATATACAGTACCTAATTTATATATAATTAATATATAATTATATGTACAGTACCTAATTTATATATAATTTATATATAATACTAAACAGACGATAGCAAACTCAATTTAGCCGCTCCGTAGCGTGGCGCAGGGTCGGAGGTAAGTAGTTCGGCTGCTCATCCACTATTGGTCCAGACTCTATCAATCTTCTCGCGAAACGACGTTATAGGAGGTACGTTTTACGAAAGTTTCTACAATTTTTTCGCTACGTTATAGGAATTGTCGTTATAGGAACGTACGTTATAGGGGGGTCGACTGTAACTTTAAAAAATAATATTGAGCATATGATCACATATTGGAGGTGGCCACAAAATAGAGACTTACGTTCAATTTAAATAAATAGAAATTTTTATGCTGGTCACAAATGAGAGATGGTTACAAGGGGTTTTACTGTAAATACAATTGATGGCAAGTACCATAATGCCTCCAACTTAGTGTTGTAGTATGTAATGGTTAATATAAGTTATATGATTATGAACACCATTGTATATATAGCAATTCTCTAATCTAAGTGTATTTCTCATCTCTGTTACAAAAAAAAATATTAATATTTTGTAAATAATACTCACCAATCTTGAGCATGGTTAGTTACTGCTGCTTCAGATGGAGGTAAAGGAGAAACAAGACGGGCTACTTGAGTCCATACTGCTTGATATAAATCTTGATGAGTTGTCATTTCATGACATGGTAATATTAATGGTAGACCAAATAAAGTTGGTTTGGTTTTTTGAGATGAAAGAAAATAGACATCTTGTCTTATCTAGTTTCAAAAAATATGTGTAAGTATCAAAACTAAAAAAATATAAAAGATTAATAAATCAATTGTCTGTTTATTAAAATTTAAAGAATTTACTGATTTAATACAATATCTTATATTTAAAAATAATCTACAAAGTTTATTTTTTAAAAAACAGTTAAATATTATTTCCTACATATTATAGTAAAATATAATGTATTTGATTTATATGAAATTGTAACAAATTGAAACACTTAAAATGAAACAAAACTAAAAATAAAGCATTAAAAATATATATAAATGTTAAAAGTTCTTATTTTTAAAAATATATCAATTAATTTTTAGAACAGCTAAAATAATTATAATAAATCACAGATTTAAGTTTTTATTTATCACAATCATAAAACATATGCAAAATTAATTGGATAGCTAAATTTAGAACATTTCACTATCATTCAGTAGCTTCAGAATGTTTCTTAAAAATCATGATTACTTTAGAAAAGTATGCATGCTTAAAATTTTGAGTTAAAAAAGCAGATAACAAAACAAAAAAAATCTGAATTATCAAAATTTGAATAGTTTCATAATTTATATTAAATAAAAAATTATAGAAATATTGATCCCTCTAACCAAACAATTCAACAAAATTGATCAAAAAATAAAAATGGAAATTGGTTAAGAAACAAGGAGAAATAAATTATTAGATAATTATCATTTGAAACTTGTTTATTCTTAAAACGTTTTTCTTAAATTCTGTATGAAAATCTAAACACACAAGAATTTAAAATTATGTGGCAGATCAGAATGAAATGGCTTGGACTCAAAACATTTATAATAAATAAAAAAGGATTTTAATTTTATATGGTTGTAAGTGCATTCAAGATGCTAACAATATATCAGTTACTGTAAAAAAATTTATTATTACATGACAGAGGATATTTTTATTTAGAGAAAGTTTTTAAAAATTAATTTTAGTTTAAATGCTAATGTAATATTTATTATATTGTATCTGTTAGCTCAAATCATTTAGATTATATATTAGAATATGTAAATAATACTTATTGCATTACACAATTTTAAGACTATTTGAATTTTATTCATTTTATTTTAACTCACAATGAAATCTGCTTTTTTTAACATATGAACATGTAACATATTAGGTAGTGAATCATCCACTAATTTTTCCATATGTAATACATAATTTCTGTTGTTTGTATTTGATGATTCTGAAAAATCTTGTGAATGTCTTCTCTGCAATGCCAAATATCATCACTGTATGCTATTTAGTTTACAAGATATTGTTTATTTTTACAAAACAACATCTTTGACAAGACTCCCAAAGTGATTCCTTCAAACTTTGCAATAACATGAGATAATGTGAAATGAGTATAGCTGGAACTAAATGATTGGAGGGCTGAGGTGTTTCTCAGAGGAGCAGAAAATGATTTTTCTATATTTTTCAGACATGAAATAAAGCTGCAAAAGCATTTATATTGTCCATTACCCAGAATATATTACAGAGAGAAGTGTTCAAGGTGGTAGTGACTTGCAGACTTCCTTGTCATTATGTCACACACAACTGACAAACATCCATGACGTCATAACTACCTCTTGCTGCAATTGTGTTAGACCTCCATGACATCATAGTGAAAAATTGCTGAGTTTATGCACGCAATCACATGTAGTAGTGCTAATTTTCCACAATAGTTTTTGAGGGCCTGTGATAAGCAAAAAATTTATTTCATCTGAAATTTTTACTTAAGTTAAATGGATAGCACATAGTATGAAGATATCATGAAAGTATAGCTAAGTAAGTCAATTTGGTGAAAAAATGCCTGTGAAAAAAGTAGTAAGTGCAAAAATATTAATCTGTGATCATATACTCTCAGGTTAATATTTTTATTTAAAAAAACAGAAGTGCTACCCTACATTAATATATCTGTAAATGATATTTCAGTGAAAGTAATATTCACATAGACAACTTTTTCATTGTGCTAATTTAGCTTAAGATTCTTTACAGCTATTACATGACAAATAAGAAATAATTTATGTAAATTATAGAATTTTTTAAAGTATAAAAATTCTATGATTAATACATTATTGTATCAAGTCCTTCAAACCCTTCTAACAAAATAAGTTTTGCTTGAATGTATATTCTTATATAACTTTCAAAATGTATGTTCAATTAGAAAATATTGATAATTGGATTTAAATGTTCTGAGTAACTTCATCCAAGAAACTTCACTTTATCTGAACTGATGATCAAAATTTTATAAGTGAAATTTTGATCATGGGTTCAGATAATCCAATTTATTTCTATTACCATTTGAAAAATGACTCAAGTAATAAGAAAAAAAATTATTTTCACTTATTATACTGTTATTTAATAATCAGACGATTACTTAATATAAAGTTTTTAATTAACATTAACTAATCTATATAAAAATATATATATTTTAATTTTTATATTCTTACCATTTTCCTATGATATGCAATAACAAAATTTTTTCTCATTACATCCATTAAATCAATATTAGAAGAGTTGCTAATTAAACTTGATGACATACTAGATGAATTTGAATTTCCTATTACAGGGAAAGGAGCCATTGGATGCCATGAACTCTGTGATAGCTGGTATGAAAATTGTGGTGCTTCATTCTAAAATATATGTAAAATAGAGGCTTGTTATATATTTCAACAAAACAAATCAATTATAATTCATTCTAACTGAACTACAGGTTAGCATAAGTTTTATAACTTTAAATATAATTGTTAAATTCTGTTGATTGATATTCTTTATATAAAAAGCTACAGTAGAGCCTCGATTATCCGACCTAATTGGGGACTGGGGTTGGTCGGATAATTGAAAGGGCGGATAACCGAAAAGTATGAAAAAATCTATTATTAGTGTAGTATATTATTATATCCCATGTAATTAGTATATTAGTATATCGCTATTAACCTACTTTGCGTTGAATTTTCATCTATGTTAAGCTTAACAAAAATTTTTTAAAATAATAATCATTGCTATTGTATCGTTAAAAATTAGAAAGTTAAGCCTCGTTTAAATACTGGCTCCCTTTCATGGTCGATCCAGTGTTGCCAGCTAAAACATGTAAAAATAATATTAAAGTAGCCAAGACATAGCCAAATATTGTAGCGCCACATCATTTGAAATTTGCTGACTAGGACGGTCGGTTAACCGAGGGGTCGGTTGATAGGGGATCGGATAATCGAGGCTCTACTGTAATTCTTCATATTAATTTTCTGTTTTTTAAACATTGTACTCTAATGTAATCAATTCTTCTATAGTTTTTCATATGCTAAAACTAATCTTAGTTCTTCAAGTTTATACAAAATTGTGTAATTTATAAAATGATCTAAAGTAACAGTCAATAATAAAAATTACCTAAATATAAGTACTCACTAAAAATAAAAAGACACTATCCTAAAAACATAAGTGTTGTTTTTAGGATAAGTTAGTGTGTCTCCAATTATGTCAAAAGATTAATAGATACAATCAATATGATAATGAAATTATTCAAAACTAAAGTAGAACGCCAATTATCCAAGATAATATGGACAAATTCAAGTTTATTCAACTTTTTGGTATCCTCAGCTAACCAAAAACTTGGATAAAACAGATGATGACAGCCATTTTAGTTTAAAAATTACATATGTAAAAGATTTATATGGTATCACTTTTAAGTATATTTTTCATACCTTAGTGAATTTACACATATAGAAGAACAACATTTCTTATATCATAGCTAATAGTTACAATAATTTTAATAACAAAAATATGTATTATTGTAGTTATATTTGAATATGAATTGGTTTATTTCACATTGAAGTTAAATGTTAAAAGTCAACAGAAACAAATGATTTTGTAAAACATGTTATCATTTTAAACTCTCTTTTATTCTTTTATAAGAAAAGTAGTGTATTCACTCACAGATTCATATTGGATAATACAGAACCTCAATTAATTGGGGCTTGGATAATTGAGGTTCTACTGTACTTCAAAGAATTAGATATTTAATTCAAGAATAAGAATTTATATATATATCTTTAATTTTAAGATTATAATCTTGATTTTTTGCAGAACATTAGAAATGTTATATAATAAAACAGTCTTTAAAGATTGTTTTATTATACATCATTTCTAATGATCAACTTTACATAAATTAAATGAAAATCAAAAACTAAGTGTAATAAAAAGTCTGACTAATTTAAAAAATCAAGAATAGTATTATAAAATTTTCAATCATAAATTAAATGTTTTCACCTTTCAAGAACCATATTTTAATATTATAACAGTTGTAGTTGTAGGCCATGAAAATTTCATATATAGTCAACTGGCATTTATATAAATCACTAAAGGAAAAGTAGTTCACTTTATCAAAAATTCATATTAACAATTTTCAGGTTTAAGGTCATATAATTTACAGAGTTAAGGCTTAATAGGTGATCAAAATCTCTAAATTATAAAATTTTGAGTTAATTTACTAAATGAAGTTAAATAAAATAAAATTTATTTACAAAAAAATTAATGTTCTAAATGATTTTTAAATCACAAAAACAGCAAATACCATTTCCTCATTAAGTGTGAAGCAGTATATCAGAACAATTAAGCAAAAACAGCTAAATGAAATTCATGATTATTTTCTGCTGAAGATTGTTTAAAAAAGTAGAAAATATTTTTTGGCACCAAGAGTAAAAAACGAGCCAAGTTTGGTGCAAAATAGCAAAACCTGGCATCACCATATGCAATTCCTGATATGCAAACTAACATATGCTTTTATGTGATTGCATCCATTTAAATGGGTGGATGTCCTTAAACTTTACCCCTATTTTTTAAGTATGGTTGAATGGTCCACTAAAACTAGATGTTTGAATTGCTGTAAATTTTAAGTTAAAAACCCATCTTAGCTTACTAGAAAAAAATCTGTTCTACTCAAAATTAAACATCTATTACAATAATCACTTTTTATTATTCACATTGAAAATAAAAAGCAACCATTATTGGAAATATGGTTATTTCTTAGAGGTTGTGAAGATAATTTACAGTTTGGTTTAATAAATTCTGATAAAATTTTTATTTCCTTTATTGTGTGAAAATTAATGTTGTGACAATGATGTTTTGCCAGGGCAATGGCAAAACTCACTTTAACATGAGAATTTGTTTTATCAGTGCTTGTTTATTTCAAGGCGAGTCAATTGTAATTCATTTGAATATTTTCTTTTTCATTGCATTATTATTATTATTTAAAATCTTGCTCAAATCAAAGCCAATGCTCTAAAAGATATAACGGTGTCAGAAAGTAAATCAAGACAAACACAATTTTCCCATTATTACAAGATGGCTATCACACTACACAATATTACATAAAGTTTTTTTATTTTTGACTTTTTAAATACTCTATGTTAATTAAAGTAAAAAGATAAACAAACTATTATTACTTAAATGTATCAATTTTAAACATAATAACCCAAATACTGTATTTCATATAATACAAACTACAGTGATACATAACCACTAATTTCAAAATTTGCTATAACTAAAACAAAACCTTCACAAAATCTTATCAATAAAAAAAATCTACCTCACAGCATGAAAGTGCAGTATACATCTAAAAAGTAACATCCTAAATTTTCTTCTTTTTTCTACTTTATTTCTGTTAGAGGTTCATTGTAGATGTAATTTTAAAAATAAGTAAAATGGAAAAAATGAAATTATCAATCACATATTAGCTTTTAACATACAAATTCAAACTGCCTATATTTGAATCTATAATGCCTTTTCTGAGTAAAAAGTTTAATCGATGTTATCAGACATTTATTTGTTTTTCATCATCAAATAAATGTCTGATAACATTGATTAAAGTATGAATTAATGCACAGATATGAATGGGAGAGGATTAAAGGTGTAGCATATATATTTCTCTCTCTCTCTACATGTGTGTGTGTCCTATACAAACCTGTAATTATTTTGGGAAAAATCACAATGGCAGATGAATATACCTAAGATTTTTCACATTTTCTAAAGATGTTTTTACTGACTTTGAACAAAGAAAAACAAGTTTAGTATTTTGTAATAAATTGCAAGTTGCAATTTTAACAGATAAGTCACTCTAATGTAAATCTATACCTAATTGGAAATTGACTTTTTTTAACAAATAATCTGCACAAAAATATAGTATATCACATTTGTTTTATATTAAATAATTATAAAAAATTAAATAATATATGCAACTTAATCTGATCAGATTCTAATAAATGTTTTTGTCTAGTCAATTAGATGTAGCAAGTTAAAATATAAACAATAAACAAAAATAAAGTTAAATATAAGCAACTAAATCAATTCTCTACAGAAAACTTAAAGCAATATATTATATAAGAAAATATTACATCATAACAAATTAAATATATAATATTATACTTAACTGTAATTAACAAATATGCAATTCTTTTAAAGTATGTAGAATATTGATTTGAACGCTGATTATTTTTTTAAATTAAGAAATAATTCTAAAACAAGCTTGAAATTAAAATTTAAATAATACAAAAGTTTCAAGAATTATTTTGTGACAGTTTATTACTTAAAAAAAGAATAGCTCAAAAAATATGAAAATTTAAATCATACTTGAGAACAAGCTGAATAATAAATAAATAAATAAAATCATATTAATAATTTTATGAAATTATTTGATAAAATTTGATAAATTTTATAATTTATAAACAAAATTTATTATTATTATTGTTGTGTTTAGTGGGTTATACTCGGTTCACACCAGTGGCTGTATACTATGCTGGGCCAGAGTCAAGGCATAGCAACCAAACCAAAACTAAAATTAAATAAGTGTGTCAGTGTCTGTATTCAGGAATTTCCTAACAATGTGGCATGTACTCAATATAGTGGCCTTCTGTAGTGTGATGTATGTATTTCTTTTCAATTGTAATATTCCCAAGCTTTTATGTAGTGTGTATGGTATCACACCTGTACAGGAAAGAACAACAGGTACAATAAGCACCCTATCCATCCTCCACAGATGCATTATTTCCTGGGTGAGTTCTGTGTACTTGCTAATTTTTTCAGTGCATGTGTTTTGTACATTGTGAGTGTTTGGAATGGCTATGTCTATAATGTATGTGATTTTATTGTGTTTGTCAATGAGTGTGATGTCTGGTCTGTTGTGGT